TAACTGCATACGCCATGATAAACATTTCCCAGCATGGCGGGTCTATTACGTTGTCCGCCGTGGTTAATCGCAAACCTATATAAGCCGTCCCCACCCTCAACATTCTCGGTCTTTTCATGTTCGGTTTTAACCCGAAGGGCTGCCAAAATCTCACGCCGCCGCCACCATCTCCACCGCCGATTGAGCTCCTCCGCGCACCGACCCCCGCCCCCGTTCTCCTCCCCGTGCCCGGTCCGCGCCCCCGTCCTCCTCTCCCTTGCCCGCGCCCCGCCCCCGTGCTCCTCCGGCGCCCCGTCACCGGAACCCTAGCGCCGGCCATTGAGAAGTATCGCGCCGCCGAGCTCCTCCGCGCTGGGCCCCGTCCTCCTCTCCCCGGAACCCTTGCTCCAGCCCGCCAAAGCTCCTCCTTGGCCTGGGCCCGTCCCCGAACCCTAGCGCCAAGCCACCGCCGCGCCCGCTTAAATCCTCCTCCCCGTGCCGTGCCCGCCCTGTCCTCCTCTCCCGGAACCCTTGCTCCAGCGCCACTTGAAGCCTCCACATGGGGCCCGCCCCCCGGAACCCTAGCGCCGCCACCGAGCTCCTCCGCGATCACCGTCCACACGCCGGGCCCCGTCCTCCTCCCCGGTCACCGTCCCCGTCCTCCTCCCCGGTCACCGTCCCCGTCCTCCTCCCCGGTCACCGTCCACACGCCGGGCCCCGTTCTCGGAGCACAGACGGGCTCTAGCCGCTACCTCCTCACTTGGAACCTGCTGCGCCCAGGCCGAGGTAAGAACTAGGCCGAGGTAAGAACTACGTAGTACCTTGGTTCTGTAATTACAATGCTGTCTCCAAAGCTCAAATTTTATTCTTGTAGTAATCGCTATATTTTCCCCATCTGAAATGTAATTAGAGATTCACATTTGGGCTATCCTAGCTTTCTCTAGGTTCCACTACGTTGTTCTCATCTCTTGTGAAAATGCAAAACTGTCTTTCCTTTAGGTATGATAAGGAGTCTTCTAATTCTTCCGTTAACTTAGTGTTTAAGGCGGTTTTCATTAGGGTCTGCATTTCATAGAGCTCTTAGAGCTGTTTCCGAGCTTAGTTATAAATTATATGCTCATTATGCCAAGCAACTTTGAATATGTAGTCACGTAATTGTGGATAGGAATTTTCAATATCGCCCATATTTAGCCATGAAACTCGGGCTGTCTTTTAACAATCCCTTTATAGGCTTATCTCCAACAGGTTGAGTCTGTTTCCATATTTAGCTGAAATTTGTGACCTATTTATACGTGGGTTGTCTCCAACACATCGAATCTCAACAAAGATTGTCTCCAACAACCTATTTGTGAGAAATTTGAGATGAATTGGTCACTCTGCTTTGCAATTTCTAGTAGTATACTATTACTACCGCCTACTACTTTCTCTACTTAATCTATTCCTATACTTAATTTTGAGATGACCTCACTTTGTGAACAAGGGGTATAGTAAACTCCTTTTGGAATGGACGGCTGAAAATTGTACAGGATAAACTACACTTGGTGAATTTTGAACTGCTATACTACTTGATCTATGATGCTTTTTGCTTGAACCGTAGCATTTGAATTCAATTCTTTTTGCTGCCTATTATGCCAAAGAAATTTGTGACAAAATTACGAGCATATGGCACTTTGCTATGATGCACCTTGCCTTTAAACCGATCACATGCTAAAGTTGTGAGAATTTTGAGATGAATTGGCCACTGCTGCAATTTTGCCAAATTTGATATTATTTTGGTGGTGGTGCTACCTATTTCTCTACTTAATCTATTCCTATACCTTTCTGCTACTACTCGTCCTCCTATACTACTCCTATACTACTGCTATACTACTGTTGTATACTACTACTACTGCCTACTACTACTCCCTCCTCCTCTACTCCCTCCTCCTCGATCTACTGCCTACTCCTCTACTCCCTCCTCCTCTACTGCCTACTCCTCTACTATCCTCCTCTGCAGCTCTTACTCTACTCCTCTTACTCTACTCTACTCTACTCTCACCTCCTCTAGTCTTCTACTCTATCTTGATGGCCGAAGGACTTAGCCCTTTGGGGCCAAATTTTGAAACTATCTTGATGGCTTTTGTTTGGTATTTGCAATGATGATTCTTTTCACACTTCTAAGCTGAGGCAGTGGCATATGCAATGATGTGAACCCTTTTATGCTGAGGCAGCGGCGATGATGATCGAGTGCCCCCGCTAAACTAGGATGGCTTGTATACCAGATACAAGCAACCAGTTTAAAAGCGATGTGATGACTATGGGGCAAATCTGAGCCAACTACTACTACTTTACTACTCTAGTACTACTCTACTTTACTACTCTAATACTACTCTACTTTACTACTCTATAACTGTGTCTATACAACTGAAATATGTATTCATTGTATATTATTTCATGTGTAATGTCTGCATACTTTTTAAGTTTAATCTGTGAAATCTGGATGTGATTTGAATTTGAATTTGAATTTATATGCTTGATGTATTTTATTTGAATTTATATATATGCCTGCTTTATTTTTTTAATTCAGGAAATAATTTACCGAGGCGGGCAAATAATAAAGCCCGCCACGGCAAATCAACATAACCACGGCGGGCCACAAAAGGTGCCCGCCGCGGTTAACCTATTTATCGCGGCGGGCGGTGTAACGTGCCCGCCGTGGTAAAGTATATTTACCGCAGCGGGCACGTTACACCGCCCTTGCCCGCTGGTAATAGTTAACATGGCGGCAAAGCCACTCCCCAGCGCGTTAAGCCACGATTTACCGTAGCTCAGAGGGTCATGGGCGACGGCTTTGCCCGCCGCGGGAAACCCAAATCGCCCGCCTCCAGTAAACTTTATGTAGTAGTGAAGTACAAGGGCTTCCAGGTGGCCCCTGCCGAGCTGGAAGCCATAGTCTCACCGGTCAGTCAAAGATGCGGCCGTCTTCGGGTAAGCGACCATTCCCATCCGTGGTTGTGTGTGTGTTTCCTATTCCTGTGCTGCGGCAATATAATGCATGCCCCGCATGCAGGCTACCAGACGAGGAGGCCGGCGAGATCCCGGCGTCGTGCGTGACTGCGTGGTGCGGCGGAGAGCCAGGCGTACGTGGAGGGGCGCGTGGCGTCGTACAAGAAGCTCCGGCTGCTGCGGTTCGTGGTCGCCATCCCCAAGTCGGTGTCCGGCAATATGCCAAGATCCTGCGGAGGCAGCTCAGGGACGACTTCGTCAAGAGGGCCAACACGGCAGCAGCCTGGTAGTAGTGCCAATTGTGACTGGCTTACTGTTTGCTTATACCGGAGCTATGCAATGCAAGATGCAAGTACTTGCATTCGAACGAGCAAATGTCAAGCTATAAGGCCTTGTTCGGTTCGCTGATAAGACAGGCTAAAAAGTACTGTTCACTGATTTGTTGTGAGAGAAAAACACTGTACCATGGCTGATAAGTCCGGCTGATAATTTCTAGAATGCTCAATTACGCAGGTTTATACTGTGTTATGAATGAGAATACATGGGTTGCTTGGCACAGATCTCACCTAAGTTCTACTTGATGAAGACAATAATACAGGTCCAACTGTTAGGGTACAATCAGATGTTCCAAGCTACTCTATTACAATTGGAATCGAAACCGTACGTGATTGCCAGGAGCCTAGAAGAACACTGCAGCCTGCATTCTTGTTATTTCTGCAAAATTGTAGACCAAAACTGTTGTTTCCTAATAATTTGAGCTTTCCAAATTCCCTCATAAACTTTCCCAACTTGCATCCTGGTGATAAGAAACATTATGTACTGCCGATGCAGACAGTGACAGCCGGCTTGGGCACAAAAAAACAAGAGACTTTATGAGAGAGACAAGTGAGTCATGTATTAATAGTGAAGAGCTAACTACTATATAAGTAGACTGAGAGAAGACTGCAAGAAACCTTACAGCCAACAAGCCTACTGTATTATTTCTCCTCTCTCTCCTCTTCTCTCTTTTCTACGTCAGTATTCAGTCTGCTTGTAGCATGCTTTTATACTCGCTCTTAGTAGCATCTGGAGGCGCAAAGTCGTCACTGCCACTCCATGCATGAGTTTGCGAAACATTTAGTGGCTACGTACTAGTAGTAGCAATAATACAATTAGGCCACTCCAAGCATGAGTTTGCGAAACATTCAGTGGCTATATACAGTAGTAGCAATAATACAATTAGGGATTAATCGTGAAATGACAACCTGTAATTGTGAATAAGATCTACGTGTGTCGTCTTGTTGCTTGTTTAACACAAATGAGAAAGGACACTGCACAAATAGCATAGTTGCAGCAAGACAATTTTTTAATTAACCATCGCTCATCCAGATTCGGCTTATCCCATATTCGGCTTGTTCGGCTTCCTTTTTCAGCCGGAACAGTGTCTTTCTCTCACAACAATTCAGTCGGAACAGTGTTTTTCAGCCGGTTTCAGCCAAGTTTCAGACCAGCGAACGGGGCATTTATATGCTATCACACACCAATCAAATGGTTGTCACTGCTTGAAACATCCCAACTATCAGTACAGTCCCTAGAAGAATAGATGGAAATACTTGTGTGTGCTGTTACCTTGGCTAGGAGATTGGACAAATCCATGATGCAAAATCATATTTCTCTAACTGAAACTCTGAAAGGAAATTACATCTACTTATGCTGACAGTCCAAAGACAATTTTATTAACAGACCCATGCAACCATATGCACTATTTAACTTAAACTTGCGCTCTGAATACCATCTATAGAGAAAGCACACATCCAAAACAGCATAGCACTTCACTTATGGTGAAGTCAGTGTGTCATACTTGGATTGATTAATATCTCTCGACCATGTAAACAGTATTTTTCAACAACATTCGCTAGCAAAAAGAGAGAGAGAGAGAGGGAGTAATTTTCAACAACAAGCACATAGAATAGTTCAGTCCACTAGTAGATGCTAGCCTTAGAAAATACCCTTAGATTGTTTCAGGAAATAACATCTGCTTCAAGGAAGCAAACTGCCTACAGAAAATTCATTTGCCAATACAGATTTATCTTCAGAAGTTCCTGGAAACAATTGCCAGCGTTGGAATTCACCATTATAGCTTCTTCTGATACTTCCTGCACCACAGTTCCAACAATCAGGAGAATACATATATATGGCAGCAAGCTTCATCAAACAAGCTCATGGGGAGTTACTGAAACATCCTATGAGCCAGCAAAGACAACTCAATAGCTTTGTACATCACCATATACTGTTCACGGTATGCAGAAAGCAAGGACCGGGTGATTAATCAATCCACAGACCTGAAGGGCGGCGAGCGGCCGCTGGAACAACTCGTCGGTGCCGCATTCCAACATCCAGGAGCGAGGTCTGAAGATCGGGCGAGGACGAGGCCAATCTCCTTCCCCTCCATCTCCGTCACCGTCACCATAGCCGTGGCCGCGACCGATGGGGATGGGAGCTGCCTCTGCTGGGTTGTTGCCGCGACCGAAGGGGTTGGGGAGGGCCGCTTTGATGTTGCCGCCGTGTCCAACTGTGGTGGAAGTTGTCGCCGCCGCCGCGGCCTTGACCTTCCCCACCGACGCCACGCCCTTCGGCTCCAACGCTGCTGTCGCGCTCGACATTTAGAGCCCGTTTGGCTGGGCTCCTGCCAGCTCCTGCTCCCACACTGCAGACTGTAGCGTGTAGGAGCTGGAGCCGGGGAAGAGAAAAAAAAACGAGTTTCTCCGACTCCGACGCTGTCAGTGAGAGAGGAAAAAAGAAGAGAGAAAAACGAATTCGATGAACAGTGTCGCTACCGAAGATGAACATGGAGGAGTCAGAGCATCCGGAGCCGCCGGAGCCCGACCAAGTAGGCTCTTAGATCCGCTGGGGGGAAGAAGGACGAGGAAACGACATACATGGTGGGAGAAGATCAAGACCGTCAACCGTACGCTGGAAGGAGCCCCTCCTCCGCAGTCCATCTACCGCCGTGCCGGCCAACCAGCCTCCATACATGCTTTTCGTCCCTCTCTCATCCACGTCAGATCCACGGTGTCCTGCTTACCTAGCCATGTCTACATTTCCACCGGCTTTTCCTTTCCCAATATCCACGCCCGCTCCCATTCATGTCCGTTCGATCATGGTGGGTACCCCCAGCCGGTTGTACCAATTCCGCGCTCCATTTTTGTGTATCAAACACTGTCCTTTCACTGACACTCTGACAGTAGTTTGTTGGACCGAATTTACACGGCATCGAGCAATTAGGGAGGACATTAAAAAATGACAAATAAGAGAAAATGCTAGTGAGTTGATCAGGCATCGGTCAACTGACTAGGGTGGCCTGAAAATGAACCGAGAAAGACTCACATATTGGCTTCATCTACCAGAAATTGCCGGTGACAAGCAACCATGACTTTTCCATGTTCCTTGTCTAGTGCTGTGCGGATGAAATATTCCTAGGCTGTACAGTAATTCACCTTGTTTCCCTGCCCTTGTTTGTTACTGCACCATTCTACAATTGATTTTCCACGAAACTTCAATGCAACTCTTTCAGTTCTGTCAACTTCATGCCTGTTGGCCTAGTGCATTCAAACATGGAATAAGTAGCTAGATATTCTCATCGTTGGCGAAGACTTCTTGACCAAATTTTCCATTGCAGAGACCATCATGCACACATTCCCTCTCAAAGCCTTGGACATCACTGTCTTCTCTTTAAGTTCCCATCTTACCACGCCGTGCGATTTCCCCCCCAAGACATATCTATACACAGGAAGGTGTCCACCATTCACGACTGCAATTCAATCAAACTCTGCTGGGAGGCAAAATGCAAAAATGAGCCAACACGTCTTACCACACCGTGGGATTTTGCCCTCAAGACATATCTATAGACAGGATAGCTGTCCACCGTTCACGTCCATGCAATTCAACCAAAGGTATGTTCTTCCTCCCATTAATTAAGCTAAATCATTTCCTGTGATCCAAAGTTCATGTGTCTAATCTCTCATCGATACTGTTATCTGTTGAATATCGTGAACAGGGAAGGGATATTGTAGATGCTTGAATCCTAATGGCGGAGATTGTCGGTTCTGCAGTTGTTCAGGAGTCAGTAAGCCAAATCGTATCTGGTCTGCTTCAAAAATATGAAGATAAACACAACTCAAATGTGTTCCGAAACCTTGAGAGGCTAGAGATGGCACACATCAGGCTGGAGGCTGTTCTTCAGACATCTGATAAGTGGGATATCACTGATACATCCTTGTTGCGTTGGCGTAGGAAGCTTAAGTCTGCTGCTCAAGAGTGTGATGACACGCTGCACAGATGCAGGCAGAGAATCCTAGAAGATGAACACATAGAAAAGGAAGTAAGCAATTCCTCCCTTCCTAAGCGGGTTGTGCATGCTACCAGGTCATTCGTTTCTTCTATCTTTAACCACAACAACGATGACTTGAATATATCCATTGTTCGAAGATTTGAATGGTTTGCTGATGGTGCTAGCGAGTTTCTGAGATTACTAGAGCTTGGTGGCACGCCACGGTGTCACATGCCCTTTGACCCTCTTATCAGGCACCTTCTTGCTGGCAAGATACTACAACATAGAATCATTAGAGCAAACAAGTGCCCATTATTTCTACTGTTAGCGCCATTTATAACTGCAGATCATGGAATAGAAGGTAGGATTTACTTCATGCAGAAAGATTGTAACGCGTCGGATGATGATTTTTTCCTTATTATAGCACTACAGCTTTCAGAGAGTACAGACATAGTTGGGGTTGCAATTCAGTGCTTACAGCTGTTTGACCATCTTTTCAAGTCTACAGTTGAAAATATTAGGAAAGAACTTATGCAACTACCTACTGAAGAATTCTCGTGGCTTCCATATGTTGATTCACCCCAGCAAAATTATTGGGACAATATTCACAGATTTGGCAGTCAATGGTTTCGCCCAAACCCATTATGTTGCAAGCAGAATGATAACAACAACTTTTTTCATGGTAGCAGGCTAGACAAATCATCTGGATTTCCATATGTTTCTCTAGAACAGGTTATTCATGTAGGTCTATCGTGCCATGTCTCACTCTCAGAGTGCGACAAACAGAAGGCCTCACAGTCAGACTGTAGAAGTTTTCTACGTGATCATCCATATCTGAGAGCTGGAGTCTTCTTTGCACCACATGGCTCTTCAGAAGACGTGTTGCTTGTGGATAAGTTTCCTGCAATAGCGGCAATGTACAGTGAGGAGCAACATTGTTTGCATACTGTCTTTACCTTGGGACAACTCGAGGAGATCATGCTGCCAAAAGCAGTAGATTACTTATGCCAGAATGAGGAAGCTACATTCTTCCAAATTCTTTGGAGGTCTAGGCATGGCACTGCATACATTCAGGTTGAGAGAGCAAGCATGTTCATGCCAAGCACACGACAAACGTTTCATGGAGCTAAGAGAAGGAAGCTGTTGCAAGGACAGGATGAGATGTTGGAGTGTGTAACATATAGGTACTCTCGATTCCTTGAGTTATGGGCTACATATGCACCCATCCAATTGCATGGCTCGATCATGGACTCGTATGAGGAAATAAAAGAAAACAGAAGCAGCACATCACTGCCGCCTGAAAATTCGTGATCACATCTGTACCATGGATCCATCAGCAAAAGATGGAGAAGCCATAAAAGAATGGTGTGTTCCATGAAAAGATAGAAGTGTGGAATTTACTGTTCATGACCAAGAACAGATTTGTCAAAACAACAGATCCAGTACATATATTTTCAGATCTTGAATTTGGGATAGATGCTCTGACTACAGGGTCAAGACAAAACATAGAAGCAGAGCTACAGCACGGAGGAATTTATGTGTTACTCACTAGCTAGCAACTTGTGTATAATGTTGGTCTTAGTTGAGAACCCTGTTCTGAATTAGGAATGTATGTGAGCATTCTGTATGGTGGTGCTTATATATTAATCATGATCGTATAGTGGCTGTCCCATGGTTACAGAATTGCATTGTACAAATAAGTATAAGATGCAACTGCATTTTAACCACCGTTTTTGTGTGTAATCACGTAGTACGGTTACCTACTACATTCAAGAAACTAAACATTAAATTTTTATATGTTTATTACTTATGAATTATTCCTTTATTATTGAATCCAGCAAGTTTTAGTTTGATAAGAAACTGTCAATTCTATAATCTCATGTCGCCTACATTACCGGAAACGTCAAATTTGCCGAGTGTTTTTATGTTTGCCGAGTGTATTATCTCGGGCACTCGGCAAACAAGTTCTTTGCCGAGTGTTGCGCTAAAAACACTCGGTAAAGAGGAGGTTTGCCGAGTATAAAAAAACACTCGGCAAAGATGGGGTTTGCCGAGTGTTTTTTTTTGACACTCGGTAAAGAAGTAAAATCTTTTTTCTAGGAAAGTAGGAGAAGAAAAAAAATGAAAAAAAACAACTTTGCCGAGTGCCCAGATGCAAGACACTCGGTAAAGAAATAAAAAAAATTCTGGGAAAGAAGGAGAAGAAAAAAAACTTTGCCGAGTGCCCAGATCTAGGACACTCGGCAAAGGAAAAAAATATTTTTTCTGGGAAAGAAGGAGAAGAAAAAATAAAAAAAAATCTTTGCCGAGTGCCCAGATCCAGGACACTCGGCAAAGGAAAAAAATCTTTTTTTAACCGGCCCCAGCGGATGTGCCCTACCCTTCTCCCCGCACGGCCCCCTCCCCTTCTCCCCGCGCCGCCCCCTCCCCTTCTCCGCGCACGCGCACGCGCCGCCCCCTCCTCCCTCTCGGCGCCGGCGCGGCCCCGCCCTCCCCTCCTCCCTCTTCGGCGCCGGCATGGTCTGCCCTCCCCTCCTCCCTCGCCGGAGCGGCCCGCCCTCCCCTCCTCCCTCGCCGGCGTGGCCCGCCCTCCCCTCACTAGATCTGGCGCCTCCCTCTCCCGAATCCGGCGGCGCCGCCCCCCTCCCGTCTCTCCCTCTCCCGGATCCGGCTGCATCGCCCCCCCTCCTAGCCCTCCCTCTCTAGATCCGGCGGCGCCGCCCCCTCCCGGCCCTCCCTCTCCAGATCCGGCGGTGACGAGCGTGGTGGTGGTGGCGGAGGGAGGAGCGGCGGATCTGGTGGCGTTCTCGTCGGTGTTCGTAGCTCCACGAGGAAGGAGCGGGCAACGCGCGACGCTGGCGAGGACGGGCTTGGGCGAGGCTCGTCGAGGTGGATGGCACGGCGGTGGAGGCTCGACACCGCGGCTTCCTGGTGACGGAGAGCAGAGGTGGCCGCGGCGAGGGCGTCGCAGCTCAGCGGCGTGGCGGAGTAGGAGCCCGCGATGGTCGCGGATGATGACGTCGCTGTGGCGAGCGGCTCGAGGAGGAGGCTTTGCTGGTGGCGCGTGCGGCGTGGTGGGGCCCTCCCTTCTTCCCCGGCGTGGATGGTGGTGGCGGCGCGACGGCGGTGCTGGTGGTGCGGGCATGGTGTCGGCGTGCCTTTTTTTTATCGGTGGTGGTGCGGCGTGGTGGGCCCCTCCCTTCTTCCCCGGCGTGGTGGCGGCGGTGGTGCTGGTGGTGTGGGCGTGGTGTCGGCGTGCCTTTTTTATTTTTTTGAAAAAAAAGTTTGCCGAATGTTTTTTGGGCACTCGGCAACTTCTTTGCCGAGTGCCCG